TCAATCAAAAGCTTCGAAGAAAAAATAATTTATTCCAATCACTTGAGCATTTTGAAAGGATTTTTCTGTTTCTGGAAACATTTTTGTACAGACAAGATAAGTTTTGATTTGATTGGATGAAATTAACCGGCAAGAGCGTATCCACCAGGAGCTGGGCCAGCAATTGGTGGAGCGGCCTGAAAAGGGAAGTGAATTTAAGTCTATTGATCAATTTTTAAGCCACTAATCACTAGATAAGTCTTAAAATCTTTTGATATTAAATTACTTTAAAATAAAAGAAACTTACATATCCTCCACCTCCTCCTGATGGATAACCTCCACCAGATGGGAAACCTCCTCCTCCTCCGCATCCTCCTCCACATGGAGCTGGTGGTGGAGCTCCGCAGCCTCCTGAATTAGATATTAAAAAGAGCTAGATGCTAGAGAATGGTTTATTGATGATTTATTTGAGTAAACTACCTCCGCATGGTGATGGTGGTGGGCCTCCGCATCCGCCACCGCATCCACCACCTCCGAGACAAGCCAAAGTGCTCGAGACAAGAAGAGAGAAGATAACGAATCGCAACATCTGTAAAGGAAAACGTTTTTCATAAGTATTAGAGTTTAAAGCTAATAGATATTTAAAGAAGTTGAGAAAAAGAGGAAGCGAAGGCAAAAATTAAGACTATAAAAGACTAAAAGATCAAATCTCTGTCACAGCTTTGGTGGATTTAGAGGAAACTCTCAACAACAGAAACTACATCAAAATAAAAGACTCTTTTCTTTTTCCATTATTTATTTGGCTAAGCCAGTTTTTTCTAAAATCATGTCATTAAGTTAAAAGTTTCGTTAAAATTGAGACCTCGCTGCGACCCTTCAGCAGTTATTTAATCGCCGATTTTGCCAACGAACGAGAAAGCGGTATGGTCTAGTGGTTAGGGCGCTCGTCCTTACGGTGGCCCGGTAGAGCAGAGGCCTCGAGTTCGATTCTTTTGGGAGTTCTTTTGGATTTTTTTTGATGGAAATACGTTGGGCTGGATAAAAGGCTTTGAGTGATAAGTCAACATTTGATAAGCTGCTGATAGGAGCTGCTGATTCAGCTACTGAGAAGAGCTGGTGATTCAGCTATTGAGAAGAGCTGCTGATTCAGCTACTCAGCAGAGCTGGTGATTCAGTTATTGAGAAGAGCTGGTGATTCAGTTATTGAGAAGAGCTGGTGATTCAGCTGCTGATAGGAGCCGCTGTAAGGCTCTTATCAGCTGATTAATATTATTAGCTTATCAAATACAAGCTGATTAATATTATTCATCGGCTTAAAAGCCTAGAAATACAAATTTGGATTTGATAATTAATAATAATTAATAATTCTATAAGAATTCATGATCAAAAAGCTTTTTAAGGCTGTAGAATCATTAAATAATGTTTCAAAAGCCTTAAAAAGCTACTGTAAGGCTACTGTAAACTGTAAACTACTGTAAACTGTAAACTACTGTACTGTAAATCAAATTCGATCACTAGGGATCATTAGCAGGATTACTCTAGCTACTGGACGGCTTACTGTAGTCTCTATAGCTGTAGCGCTATAGGGATTACTGTATTCCGAAAACTACTAGAATATAACCCAATTTCAAGATGAATTTCAATTGAATTGAATCAAATTCGATCGAATAATAAGAATTGCATAGAATCCCTGTATCCCTAAAGTCTTAGGCAAACATTTCTGCCAATAGAAACACAATAGATCTTTTCTGTCTGATCCTTAAGCAAGATACGCGCCGAACTTTCCATTCTCACTCAAAGAGTCTTGACCTTTGACATTTCAATGGACTTTTTCTTCTTCTTCTTCAAAAAAAACTCGTTACATTAAAGCAAATGGCACAATGATTACCTCAAATTTGAGTGAAAGTGTTAATGGAAAGTTGAGAGACGCTCAAGGACTTCTTGACAAAGAAAAACTTGCTCGAGAAAGCTTTTGAAGTGGAGATGCTTTTGCTGAGATTGTCGAGATTGCTGGGGTTGCTGAGATTGCTGAGATTGCTGAGGTTGCTGGGGTTGCTGAGATTGCTGCGGTTGCTGGGGTTGCTGGGGTTGCTGGGGTTGCTGAGATTGCTGAGATTGCTGCGGTTGCTGGGGTTGCTGGGGTTGCTGGGGTTGCTGAGATTGCTGAGATTGCTGAGATTGCTGAGGTTGCTGGGGTTGCTGAGATTGCTGGGGTTGCTGGGGTTGCTGGGGTTGCTGGGGTTGCTGGGGTTGCTGGGGTTGCTGGGGTTGCTGAGATTGCTGCGGTTGCTGGGGTTGCTGGGGTTGCTGGGGTTGCTGAGATTGCTGAGATTGCTGAGATTGCTGGGATTGCTGAGATTGCTCAAAAATGCTCTCAAGAATATCTACTATAGCTAGCTAGTTACTTTACTACATTCAGCTTAGCGGAAACTCTTAAACTCTAGAAAAAAAGAGAAATAGAGAGCTCTTTAGAGAGAAAACTAAAATAGATCGTCGTTCTAGGAGATCGAACTCGTTACAATGCGGGAGAGGACTGAGAGACCGGCACACTACCATTGCACCATCCAATGCTCTCTTTAAGGACCGACAATAGCCTTTATAAACTCATAAGGACTCATTACAAGTCAAATTTCTTCAAGTGAAGCCATGGAAGTGAATAGAAAGAATGAAATAGTGGGATTGTAAAGAGGTAAAGGATTTTATTAAAGATTAAGTACTTTTACTAAGTATTAAGTACTTTTACTAAGTAATACTAAGTATTCTACGTACTGTAGGCATTATTTTATCTCCTAATAGTAATTAGAAGTGAGAAAGGTTGAGTAGAAAGTTGAATATTTGATTAAAACTAGACTACGATAGCTTTTTGATGGTTGAAATGTTTTGAAAAATCTTGGAAAGGAAAGAAGCTCTAGGCAAACTGACCAAAAGTACCGAAAGATTCGGGTTTAAATAAACGACTCGAAGAAACAAGAAGGATTAAGGAATGGAAAAGAATTGCGGATAAATGCAATCAGAAATCAGATCCGATCCGGCCATGCCATAAAAGAAAAACATTTGACAGGCTGATCAGATTCTTTTCTTTCTTTTTCCTTTTCGATTCGATTCTTTTCTTCATTGCCATGGCTGTACATGGCAAAAAAAAAAAAAAACAAGAAATTGACGGTCGATTGAGGCTCACAAAAAGCACGTGTCATTTCATGATCACTAGAGAATTGAGAATTGCAGTTAAAGTCAGTGCAAAACAGATTTTACAGATTACCGAAGCTTAAAGAAGCTTGCAGAAGCTTCACAGAAGTTTAGCTTTGAAAATAAAGATCTCCAAACGATTCCTCGTCCCCAAAAACCTTAGAAAACAATTTCACAGCTGAATATCTTCTAAAAAACAAAAATTACTGGCAGAGAAATTACTGGGAAAATGTTCTTGGTGCGCGCGAACCATCGCTCGCTTTCTGGCACACGGTCCTAATAGATACCTCTTACCTTTTCGACTTGAGTGATTCCTTAAACTCACTTGTCCAGATGTGCTTTCTACGCGCGCGCAATCGCTCACTTTCTGGCACACGGTCCTAATAGATACCCCTTACCTTTTCGACTTGAGTGATTCCTTAAACTCACTTGTCCAGATGTGCTTTCTACGCGCGCGCAATCGCTCACTTTCTGGCACACGGTCCTAAAAGATACCCCCTCCCCCCTCGACCCGAGCAATCACTTTGTACTTGTCCAATAATCATTATTTCACTTCTCAGTTTTCAATCCTGATTGATAAATGGCTAACGTTAACGTCTTAGGCTCTCTACAAATTTGGTTCCTTATCTCTCTAAATTTGGTTCCTTATCTCTCTAAATTTGGTTCCTTATCTCTCTAAATTTGGTTCCTTATCTCTCTAAATTTGGTTCCTTATCTCTCTAAATTTGGTTCCTTATCTCTCTAAATTTGGTTCCTTATCGCTCTAAATTTGGTTCCTTATCTCTCTAAATTTGGTTCCTTCTCTCTTCAACCCTGGGACAAGTGGAAACCAACAGCCTAACGGTATGGCTAAACAGTCAGTGTTTCAGCCTACACTCACTCAAAAAGCTCGACATTTGCATTGTCTAAATCAGAAAACTCATTTGCAGTGTGGCTAAATTTTATAGAGGTTTAAGCAGGTTGAGGCAGGCTGATCACCGATTGATAATTGGCAGGCACGATATCAGAAGAAAGAGAACTGGAAACGGGCAAAATCCGATCCAAGCCTTAGCCTTGCTCCTCAAAAAAAACACACGCGGTTCCACCTGCCTGCAGGGTTTGAAAAGAGCCGTTAGCTCGTTAGCTTCAGCCTCAAGGCTAGATTTTTGTCTTTTCTGTTTCTCCAAGCTATTTATCTCTAAACTTAACCGTTGTCTTTAGCTTTAGATATCTCTATTTTATGTTTTCTTTATCTGGCTAAGGCTCTGACTCTGGCTCTGACTCTGGCTCTGTCTCTGGCTCCGGATCTAGCTCTAGATCTGGCTCTGGATCTATTTTTAAACCCTTAGCTCTTCTTTCAGCTTATCTCTCACCTTTTCTTGATCTAACTCGTGGCTCTGGATCTGCATATTTCTGTCTTCTCTAGATCTCTTAGCTGTCTTTGAACCCTAGCTCTAGACTCTGGCTCTGTCTATATTCATCTATCTCCTTTTCTTAGCTTCTCCTTTCAAACCTCTGTCTAATCTCTATCCTAAGCCTTTATCCATTAGTCTAGCCTCTCCTGCATTCACTAAAAGTCTCAAGGCTTCTATATCTAGCCTAGCCTCTTTGCCTTTACATTCCAGCGCATTCTGTCTCTCTAAATTCCTTTCTCTACCCTCAATCTCTAATTTTCCCATCTACAGGCAGGCAAGGTTGCCATCCCTTGAACCTCCCCCAGGCTCAGCCTGTACCCTACAGGGTACCCCCCAGCCTTCCCACCCATCAACCCTCCCCTTTCATTTCTCCTATATAAGCCAATTTCTCCACCCGATCCTCAGCTTGCTCTCACTTGCAACTCATTCACTTCAGCTAAAATGGTAAGTGAACTCTTTCTTTTGAAAAGCTCTTTCTCTATTTTTCTTTGATTTTATTATCTTATAGCTCTAGGTTTACGTAACATTAAGTTAATATAGCTTTTATATACTCGTAGAGGACTCGTGCTTACTCTACAGAACTCTACAGTGCTCGTAGAGGACTCCACAGTACTCTACAGTACTCGTACTTGATCTAACGGTCGTCCAGTACTCGTCTAGACTTGATCTAGTGGTTCTTTGCTAGGGTTAGATCTAAATCTGAGAAACCCTGAGAAAGATATCTACAGTAAAACCTTTCTTTCTTCAGATGCGATTCGTTATCTTCTCTCTGCTCATCTCGAGCACTTTGGCTTGTCTTGGAGGCGGCGGTGGATGCGGTGGCGGATGCGGAGGCCCACCACCATCACCATGCGGAGGTATTTTACTCAAATAAATCATCAATAAACCATTCTCTAGCATCTAGCTCTTTTTAATATCTAATTCAGGAGGCTGCGGAGCTCCACCACCAGCTCCATGTGGAGGAGGATGCGGAGGAGGAGGAGGTTTCCCATCTGGTGGAGGTTATCCATCAGGAGGAGGTGGAGGATATGTAAGTTTCTTTTATTTTAAAGTAATTTAATATCAAAAGATTTTAAGACTTATCTAGTGATTAGTGGCTTAAAAACTGATCAATAGACTTAAATTCACTTCCCTTTTCAGGCCGCTCCACCAATTGCTGGCCCAGCTCCTGGTGGATACGCTCTTGCCGGTTAATTTCATCCAATCAAATCAAAACTTATCTTGTCTGTACAAAAATCTTTCCAGAAACAGAAAAATCCTTTCAAAATGCTCAAGTGATTGGAATAAATTATTTTTTCTTCGAAGCTTTTGATTGAATGCAGTTAAGACGACAAAAAACACAGTTAAGGCGATAAAAATGAACCTTGACATTCGATTCTCTGACCTCGAAAACCCTAGGCACGAATTTAGAGCTGAAGTTCCTTTTTTTAATATCTAAAAAGCAAGAGAAAACCAGAGAAAATCAATGCCGAAATGTTCTTTGTGCGGGGAGACAATCGCTCGCTTTCTGTCACATGGTCTCGATAGATACCCTCCAGATTCTTTGCCAGCGAGTTTTCTGCACTTCCGATTGATAGGTGTTCTTTGTGCGCCCGGATAATCGCTCGCTCTCTGGCACACGCTCCAGATAGATACCCTACGGATTCCCTCAGGGCTATTCCTTCTGCCCCATTGATAGGTAGCTGTTCTTTGTGCACGCAGACAATCCCTCGCTTTCTGGCACAGGCTCCCGATAGATACTCCCCCGATTCCTTCCGCGCGTCCTGTCCTCCCAGTCGTCTTTCTGCACGCGCTTGATCGCTCTCCCCGATAGATAAGTGGTCTTTGTCCGCGCGTAATCGCTTTCCATCCATGAATCGATATTTTATCAATATTTTATTTGTTTTTTCTCCATGAATCAATATTTTGAATAATCTTTTTTCCCGCAGTTCAAGTTCTCTTTTGCTTTTTTTGAGGTAATTGTTTACCATTTCAAATACAGTCAAACTTCGATAACAAACAAAAACTCAAAGGATTTCGAAAAACATTTTTGTGATCGAGATTTTGCCTCATCATTATGCATTCTTAGCATTTTAAGAAATGCTCTAAAAACAGTAAAGAATGTAGAAAAGAAAGCTAACAATTTTTTCATTTATCGAAAGATACTATCAATGTATTCATTTACGCAAATAAGATTAATTTTATTGAAAAAAAAAATGAAAACAACATGAAAACAGTAATTTGATTATAAAATCGACACCAAACTAACAACAAAGAGTTTTTCCACATCGCGACGATTAAAATGAATATAATTTTAGCCTCGATAACGATCAAAAGGCTTTCACTAAGTAGCTTTATTTTAAAATGCTCCCCAAAGCGCAACTATTCAGTTTGTTCTATTTGGCCGGCTTCTTTACACAACTTTTAGCTGAAACAAATAAAGAAAACAAAAGATTCAATCAAAAAAAGTTGCGCAAACAGAAATAAACAGAAATAAACAGAAATAAAAAGAAATAAAAAGAAATAAAAAGAAATAAAAAGAAATAAAAAGAAATAAAAAGAAATAAAAAGAAATAAAAAGAAATAAAAAGAAATAAAAAGAAATAAAAAGAAATAAAAAGAAATAAAAAGAAATAAAAAGAAATAAAAAGAAATAAAAAGAAATAAAAAGAAATAAAAAGAAATAAAAAGAAATAAAAAGAAATAAAAAGAAATAAAAAGAAATACCGTATTCTCTCTAATAGTAGTGCGCACTACTATTTTTTCAACCCCCTCCTGGACCGCAATACTATTAGAGAGTGCAATACTATTAGAGAGTTTTATCAATTATCAAAGTAAGACAGATATAAGATTTGTTCCAAAAATTCTTCCAAAAAAAGCGACTTTCTAAAAATTTATTGACTTCTGATAACAAAAAGTTAACTAGACAAAAAGATCTACAACAGAATCATCATTTGAATCATCATCCTCATCCAGTTCAATATTTTTGAGTTGATCCTTTACTCCGTTGATCGATTGTTCGAGACGAGCATTGGCGAGAAGTGTTGCGCCTTCAGGAATCGGTCCTTCTTTTTTGAAGCAATGAATGATACCATCTTCAGAGCCATCAGTAGCTGTGGTAATTGCACAACTCTTGAACGAGCTTATGATGAGGTTTTTTGGGAGCTCGTTCCAAGCATTCCAAACCCATTCAAGATAAGTTTCCATCGGTGGAGGAGTCGGGTTTCCATTCCAGGTCAAAGGTTTTGGTCCATTCATCATCCATCCCTCGTATTGTGCTAGCCTTAAATGGTGCATTCCACATGACATCGGGAGCTTGTATGTACTTGGTGCATCCTCCGGGCTGATGATTCGATATTCGACTGATCCAGGAAAATGCTGGTCTCATCACAGGCAAAAATTGATGCGTAGTTGTTCTTTTTGCGTAACTTCTCCATGTAGAGGATGTACTCAATTATTGCTTTCACGTACTCATTTGGCTCCTTTTGACATACAGTTGTGGGCCGGCGAGTTGACAATTTGTGTCTTGACATGAATAAGTTTAGCCATCCCTCCGATGCCGAAAATTCCTCGTCATCTTTCCACATTAACTTGGCTTGGCATTGAATCATTTTTCGTGTCACTCGCATCTTCTTTGCCCGCATTTCTTGAATCCAAGCAACGAAATCCTTGTCAAAATCGATATCCTTAAGCTTTCGTCCACCGCCTTTGATTCGTTTTTTTCCTTTTCCGTTATCTCTGTTTTATTTCTCGAGTTCTTCCTTTTGCTGACACCATTTTTGGATGTTTTGACGACTGACTCCAAATTTTCGCGCTGCAGCCGACTTATCCTTTATTTTTTCCGCAAGAGCAATCGTTTTCAGCTTTGTTTGAATGTCGAAACATCGCTTTCTCGCCGATGGTGCATCCGCTTCACACGAAGACTCCTCGGCAACATCCTTGGTCATGTTGTAGCCAGCATTTTGCTCGGTCACTTGATTGTCGATCCTCTTGAAGCTTTCCACATGTTCCTCGTGTTCACGACGAGCTCGAAAGTTTTTGAATCCATCAAGCGAGTTCCCATCGAGATCCATACCTAAAGAAAAAGATTATTTAGACAATAGTAAAGGTGATCAACAAAAATTATATAATATTAAAATCGAACATGATGGATTATTTTCTAGGATTGAGCTTTGATAACAATAAAGTTAAGCGCCGCAAAAGGTAAGTCAATCTCAAACTTTATACAGGTATATAAGAGCAAAAAATAACTATAGCTTTGCGCGAACTTCGTAAGCAAATTTGAGTTAATGTGCCACTAAAACAACGTGTGGAAACAAAAAAAAAGATGCTTAGGCACTTTGCACAACAATTTCAGTTTTTTTGCTAACTTTTTCAGGTGAAGAATAGTTAACAAATGAATAAAAAAAGCCCCACTTTTGCTTGCTTCAATAGCTTAGAATGTCACATAAACATAAAGATATTCAGTCAAAAAGGTTTAGATGAAAAAGAAGCGCTATAAATCCAACTTTTCAAGGGTGCACTACTATTTTTTCAACCCCCTCTCGGACCGCAATACTATTAGAGAGTGCAATACTATTGGAGAGTAGTGCAATACTATTAGAGAGAATACGGTAAATAGAAATAAACAGAAATAAGCCGAAATAAACAGAAATAAACAGAAATAAACAGAAATAAACAAATAAAAACAGAAATAAATATAAATAAGCAGAAATAAACAGAAATAAACAGAAATAAAAAAAGAAATAAACAGAAATAAACATAAATAAACAGAAATAAACAGAAATAAAAAGAAATAAAAAGAAATAAACAGAAATAAACATAAATAAACAGAAATAAACAGAAATAAACAGAAATAAACATAAATAAACAGAAATAAAAAAGAAATAAACATAAATAAACATAAATAAACAGAAATAAACATAAATAAACAGAAATAAACATAAATAAACAGAAATAAACATAAATAAACAGAAATAAAAAGAAATAAACATAAATAAACATAAATAAACAGAAATAAACATAAATAAACAGAAATAAACAGAAATAAACATAAATAAACAGAAATAAACATAAATAAACAGAAATAAACATAAATAAACAGAAATAAAAAGAAATAAAAAGAAATAAACAGAAATAAAAAGAAATAAACAGAAATAAACATAAATAAACAGAAATAAACAGAAATAAACATAAATAAACAGAAATAAAAAGAAATAAAAAGAAATAAACAGAAATAAAAAGAAATAAAAAGAAATAAAAAGAAATAAAAAGAATTAAAACTAGAAAAATATCAAAAATTCAAATATTACAACTTAAAAAGAATGCAAATGATTAAAAATTAGTCCTTTTATACGTTCATTGCTGATTATTTGAATAGAAAAGGCTGAATTATTGCGCTTTGGGGAGCATTTTAAAATAAAGAGCAAATAAAGCTACTTAGTGAAAGCCTTTTGATCGTTATCGAGGCTAAAATTATATTCATTTTAATCGTCGCGATGTGGAAAAAATTTTGGTTATCGAGGTTTTTGGCTAAAATATTTTGTTAAGAATTTTTTTAATTTTTATCTTTTGTTATCGAGGTACAAGTCTTTTTTAAATTATTCAAATTATCAAATTATGTTTTCTTTTTATTACTAACTTAAATATTAACTTTAAACAATAATCATTAAAATCTAAAAAATTAAATCTTTGTCACAATGATCAAAACAAAACAACAACCAGATCCAGATGTTAACCAAATCAATTTTAATTTTTCACCTTGTCAGGATAAAAATTGTCTCACTTTTATGGCTCGTGCCTCCTGTAGTTGTAGTTAAATTGACAGCGACATCAAAAATCAACAAATGTCAACAACGAAATTTCAACTTTGCAACTTTGCAACTTTGAATGCTTATAACTTTTCACAGAGTGCTCCACAGCAAAAACAGAAACCAAATTCGGAATCAGCGTAAAATTCTGCGTCGAATAGTCTCGAAGTCGAATTGCTTGTGTCATTTGGCCACCAAATTCGGTTGGCATTCCCTTGTAAGTCATCTCGACCTCTTTAGGGATTACTGTAGCTATTTGTGGATTATTGTCGTCTTTCAGATGATTACTGTCCTCTTTCAGAAACGTCTTTCACACGATTATTGTCGTCTCTCGTTACTGTAGCTTAGACATTGTCAATAATTCATTTCCTCAAAAATTTTCAATCAAAAACAAACAATCTT